CGAAGGGAGATGAGCGATGGCTCAGGCATGGCTGGGCAGCAGGAGCCCCGCAGCAGCCCAGCCACGTGGAGTGCGGGGAGGTATCCGGGAGTGCCACCGTGGTGCCAGATGTCCCCTGGAACAATGGTCAGTCCACCCTGCCCCCGCCCGCTGTGGCTCTGGGGGATTGTGCCGCCAGGCCCCATTCATCTGTGGAAAGAGGGGCGTTCAAGTCAGCGTTTGCCCTCGGGAGCTAGCCCACCCCTTCGGCGTCTCTCTGATGGGGCACCTGGTGACCAGGGGCACGTGGCACCCTCATTCCAGAGCAGCAGTGTGAGCAGGGGGCACGTGGCACAGTTGGGCCAGGGCAGGAGGCACGTGGCACCGTTGGGCCGGGGCAGCGTATCGGGGCAGGGGGCGCGTGGCACCGTTGGGCCGGGGCAGCGTGTCGGGGCAGGGGGCGCGTGGCACCGTTGGGCCGGGGCAGCGTATCCGGGCAGGGGGCGCGTGGCACCGTTGGGCCGGGGCAGCGTGTCGGGGCAGGGGGCGCGTGGCACCGTTGTGCCGGGGCAGCAGATATCCGTGCAGTGTGAGCTGGGCAGGGGCATATAACATGGGACAGTGTCTGCATCTGGATTCCTCTTGCCGCCCAGGATGTCTCTGCAGCGCGGTGCCCTGGAGAGCCGGTGGCATTACGCACTGCTCCGTGCGGCGTGCACGCTCCTGGTGCAGGCCAGCCCTCGGCAGGGCAGGGCAGGGCAGGGCAGAGCGATAACCGCCCAGGGCCAGGCTCTCTCCCTCCGCCTTGGGAGCAGATTCGCCTGGAGGCCCGTTTCCATTGTTCGTTTGCTGGGGGCTGCTGCACCGTGTCCTGGCAGGAGTCACTGAGCTGCTAGGACATGGCCGTGGCTTTGTAAACGTGGCAGTAACGCCAGGGCCCGGCCCTGTTCCCTCTGGGCTCGCCTGGCAGAGAGCAAGCCCTGCTCCGCCTCGGCCTCGGGGCCCCGCCTCCTCCCGGCCCCCAGCCTGCCGGCCGTGGGGCTGAGCTGACAAAGGAGAGGCAGGGGGGGCTGTGCCCGCAGGTGACCGGGGTCGCTGAGGTTTGCCAGGGCGGCAGGCTGCCTTCCACCCGCCGGGTGCTGCCTGTGCCCGCGGGGCTCAGGCAGACGTTCGTCCCCAGCAGCCGCGGCACGGAGCCAGCACCCTCGTGCCTGCCCTCCCTGTGCCGCGGGGCCCGGGACCCTGCCCGGCAGCAGCCTGAGGGTGTCCCTCTCTCTCTTCCCGCTGCCCCAGCCCGACGAGGACTTGTTCAACCCTGACTACGTGGAGGTGGATCGCATCCTGGAGGTGGCGCACACGAAGGACTCGGACACGGGGGAGGTGAGCGCTGGGGCCCGGGCAGAGCTCAGTGGGAGCCAGTTCATTGGCCTGTTGCGGGACCTGCTGGGAGCTGGGGGTTCCAGGCGCTGGCTCCCTGCAGTTTGTGGAGTCGGCAAGCCCCTGGGGAGTCCCTGCCGGATCCGTCAGCCCTCCAGCCTGCAGGGGGCAGTGTGCTGTGTTCCTGCTCAGCCCTGGGGAGGGGATGTTGAACTCCGAGGACCCAGCATGTGCGTGTGCATGTTTGTGTGTGCAAGCGCGTGTATGTGTGTGCATGTTTGTGTGTGCAGGCGCATGTATGTATGCATGTTTGTGTGTGCAGGCGCGTGTGCAGGCACGTCTGTGTGTGTGTGTGTGTGTGTGTGTGTGCAGGCGCGTCTGTGTGTGTGAACGTTAGTGTGTGCGTGTGCAGGTGCATGTTTGTGCATATGTGTGCAGCGCGTGTGTGCGTGTGCAGGCGTGTCTTGTGTGTGTGTGTGTGTGTACAGGCGCATGTTTGTGCATGTGTGCAGTGCGTGTGTGCGTGTGCAGGCGTGTCTTGTGTGTGTGTGTGTGTGTACAGGCGCATGTTTGTGCATATGTGTGCAGCTTGTGTGTGCGTGTGCAGGCGTGTCTTGTGTGTGTGTGTGTGCGCGTGTGTGTGCAGGAGGATGGCGGGTGCCCGTGCGTGTGCGTGTGCGCATGGGTGGAATGTGCGTGCTGGGGGCTCAGGAGGGTGCGTGGGCCTGGCCACGTCTCCAGGCCAGGCGCTCGCCCTGTCCCTCGCCGGCAGGAGGTGACGCACTACCTGGTGAAGTGGTGCTCCCTGCCCTACGAGGAGAGCACCTGGGAGCTGGAAGAAGACGTTGACCCTGGAAAAATCAAAGAGTTCGAGTCCTTGCAGATCCCCCCAGAGATCAAACAAGTGGTGAGGGGCTGCTCTGAGCCTGGCCAGCCACCCCGC